GTGTGTGTGTGTGTGTGTGTGTGGGCAGGGAAGTTTTTTTATAATGGCAAGTATTTGGGGCAACTACAGTAATAGGCTTTCTTGTTTGATATTAAAGTTTTAATACTTTAAAGCTCACAATACTTTTTTTCCATTGTTTTTTAAGCAGAATATGTAATTCAAGTTGGATATTTAATTTATTTTGTTAGTCATTTAATTTTAGTAATTGTGTGCACATCCTTCATGACAAACATCAGCACCATTTATGATTTACAGGTTATAACAAAACTTTTTATGATACTTTAAAAGTGGTGGTACAACCGGCCATATGTCAGCTACCTCTGCTTTGTTCTGTTGGCTATTTGTTTTGTAGCACTTTTTAGGATTCTGTCAAAAATCACCAGTCAAACTTCATGTACAGGAAAAAACATAAACATGAATGAAAACAGCTGTATCCATTACGACCGCAGATTGAGAACCATGAAGAGCTTCAAAAATAAGAGCACGATGGACAGCTGAAATAGATTTTTTTATTATTTTTATTAAAATARTTCTAGTTATAATTGAAAGACCAATCAAATTTCAAGGTTTAAAAAAGTACATTGAACTCTCATATGAGCAAACAATGTCATTTCCCTTTGGGATCAATAAAGTATATTGAATTGAATTGCTAAATTAGCAAGGTTGATTTGAACTATAATCATTTTGTTTATACATATAAGTGAATGTGAGCTGATAATTAACTAATATTAGGGCTGCCACGATTAATCGATTAATCGACGACTAATCGATTATTAAAATAATTGTTTGTGGCAGCCCTAACTAATATAAGTTTTAAGTTGCTGGTCACAAAACATAATAAAAAAAATCAATTTCTACTTCAAGATTGGTGATGTGTTCATGTATTTCCTAATGTTCATATTTGTATTCATAGTTCTCACATCATCCTAATCTGTGCAAGCATCTGTAAGTGTTTGTATTTGCATGAGTCTGTAAACTGGACTATTTAACTGATCAGCTGTAACCACTAACGGACAGCAATCACCTCACCACAGAATTGTATCACAAAGAGGAGGACCTCCTGGTAACGCCGGCGGGTGGAGACATCCTAAGCCCACGCTACCCCAACGCTTATCCCCGCAACCTGCTGTTGTCATGGAAACTGCTGTCACCACCRGGGAGCCGAATACACCTCGACTTTGATGGACAGTTCGGCCTGGAGGATCCTGAGAATGGAGTGTGCAGGTAAAAGCACAAGATTAAGAAAGATAAAGAAGAACTAACGGGGCTGGCTGATGATAGGATCCAGATAATACGATTACTGCTGATATTATAGAAAAGTAAAGAGGATGACATTAAGTGTCTTAAAGATAAAGAGACAAAAGAGGGAAAACAGGACCTGAACTGAGGGGGAAGGATGAAGTGGGAACAAACAGGAGAAAGCACTGATGCATTGCAAAAAGTCAGATGAAAGACAAAGGTGATTAAAAAGTGAAATYGAGACAATGGGAGACGAATGATTTGCTGTTTAAAATGAACAAGTTTAARGAATAACAACACTAACAGGTGTGAGAAGTGTTTGCTAATGCATGCGGGTTAACACACCAACAATAAATCCTGATTGATGGGGTGTGAGAAAGATGGGAAGTTTGCTTTCTTGGCAAGAAACAGAAGAGGTTTGCCCTTGAAGGCTGAGGAAGGAAAATGCACTTTCTAATCCCGATACACAACTCAGCTCTTTGTAAGCATATTGGGGGGAGGGACAGTCAAAGAAAATAGGAGGAGAAAACATTAAGAATGGTTAGAAGGAGATGGTTTTGGCTCAGAAATTTGTCATCTCTGTAATAGACGGGTGGGCGTGTTTGATAATTGGCTCAGACAAGTTTTTGTCATGCATGATGACCTGCTGTATTTGTCTCATCACTAGTCTGACTGTACACCATTCTCCCAGGATGATTAATGTTTAATACTGTGTGTACCATTTTTTCCCCATTTTAGGTCTTAAAATTCAGAACTCTTAATTTGAATTCACCAAAGTGACTTTAGCAGTTTTCTGTCTTTTTTGCTAGATAATATATGTAATTCCCATCAGCCTTAGTTGTGTTTTGTCTTTCATATTTAGAGTCAGATGACTGCCTAAAGGTGTCTCCTTGTAATGTTTGCCGGTAGCAGCAAAAAATCTGAATAATGCTTAAAAGATACTTTGTGCTTTGATGCTGTAACCATAGAGTAAAGTACCCAGGTCTCATTTTGTATCAGGTTTCAAGTTCAATCTCAAAAATAATAGAAGAGATGTTATTTCAGTAGGAGCAATGAGACAAAAATACTCATTTACAAAGCCTACAAAGTGAACCTTTTTCAATGCAGTTTGTAAGGTTATTTGATGATTTGTCACACTATAAATATTAATGATACTGGAGATACCAGGGTTTGTTTTCAGGAATTACAAACACTGCTTTTTTAACCATTGTATAYTGGTGATAGCACATAAGGCAGTTGGGTTTTTAAGAGTTTCAGCCCCCTTGCCCTTTACATTTTTTACATTATAATGTGTCAAATCTAGCAAATACAAAGCATGAACTTGAAGATGTTCATATAAAATGTCATCATGTTCAAATTGTTAATGATGCTTTTTTAACCAAGCGAAATATCACTTAAAAAAACAAAATGCACTGTTTGATGGCTTTTAGAAACCATCTGTGCTATTTTTTTATGGTTCCTTGCCTTATCAAGTAAAACTGAGCACTGTGATAAATAAACACACATGCTTAAAGGAACAATATTATGTGCTTTCCAAGCCCATATTTCAATTTTATACAAAAATAAAGTAACTATGTCACATTTTTAGCTTATGAAAGAGCTATTTGTAAAAATTCCCAAAACAATTTACTTCTCATCTTGATAGTTTCTAAACACCCTTAAATAGGTCTCTGTCTCTTTAAGAAAATCCAACCACTTCGGTCATGCCCATTTCAGCATGCAGCCCTGCCGGAATCGCGGAGCGGGGTGGGGGTTCTGCCATGAGGTAGTTCGGCTTAATGACACGTCCCAGAGGCTTTTCTGGTTCCAAAAGGCATTTCTGGTCCCAGAGGCTTTTCTGGTTCCAAAAGGCATTTCTGGTCCCCACCTGTCATTTTGCTCCTCAGCATGGCTGCCTAAAAACGCTGCAGGATTTCTCAAACATGCATGAATGAGTCAAAGCAAGGCTTTTGGCATGTTTTTGATGAGAGTATAACATTATAACATGATATAAAACTCAAAAAAGTTGATTTTTACATGATATTGCCCCTTTAATAGAAACACATTCATGAAATGCTACATTAATTCCACAATCTTTATTTTTTTTACCATGTTTACAACTTACCAACCAGTTTAATTGGCAGCAAAAGTGCTAAAGCTGGTCAATGTAATATGATATCAAATGCTTAGTGTAGGAGTTTAGCTAGATGTTTGTAAACAGAGACTAATTTTCTTCTGTCTTCTACAACTTACAAAAACAGTGAGCTGGACCCACTGGCAAGGTCATGAGCAAAGGAGGAGCAGTTGAAAATCGGCCAAACAATCCAATCAATTTCGAAAACTTACAAAATTAAAATAATGTGTCTTCACATCACAAAAAAAGAAAAATAATAATAAAACAAACCAACCTGCAGAACAGTAACCATAAAAATGTAAAAATAGTGTGTGTGAGCTATAGTGGACATTTGCTTCGACATACCCTCATCAACAAACTTACTATGTTGAAAATAAAAATGCTAAAAAAGAGAAATTAATGAATGTCTCACATTTTCTTCTATCCAATTCTACGTTTACTGTCTGTTCTGTATGTTGCTCTGGTTGCTGTCATGTATTCATTTGCATTTCAAGTTCTCGTTCTGTCTCCATCACCTCAGGTATGACTATGTCGAAGTGGAGGACCAATTAGAGACCAGGACCATAATTTGGGGTCGCTGGTGTGGGCAGAAGGCACCACAAGGGCTGACCTCCAGAGGCAACAAGCTCAGAGTCACCTTCAAGTCTGACGATTACTTTGTGGCAAAGCCGGGATTCAAAATCTTCTACTCGCTGGTGGTGAGAGGCTTTGACGTGTTAAAGTTTAAGCTAAAAGGTTAAAATTACAATATTTATAACTATAAAAACCCACCCAAAAATAATAATAATAATAATAAAACACTGCAGTTCTTATAAATGATTGTTACTCGAAAACACAGAACTTTTTATTTTCACCGCAGGTTGCTGCATTTTATTAGTGCAAACAAAAAGGATATTTTCCACCATTTGTTTTTTCTGGGACCTACTGTGCATTATGACAGTGTGAACGTATTACTACCGGACCCGCTTAAACCACAGCTATTACCTGCAATAGCTGAGACCACACTAATGTAAACTCTAGGTTATGTTTTACTTGAAAAAAAAAAACAAATGAATTTAAATGTATTTATTTTACTACTACACTGTTACCTGATTCAACTGACCTCAGTGGTTAAATACTAATGGAAGCAAAAAGCAGTGACAAAAAACAGACCTAATAAAATACAAAAATTGTCTTTTATAAGCATCAAAACTTCAACCAAACAAAATGAAATGGTAATAGTTTGAATAAGTCATGTATTTCTATAATACAAAGTAGAGCAAGTGTTTTATGCAGCTGAATTAGCCATATGGTTGAAATGTTGCTCTTGAAGGTGGATCTGAGCAGACATTCGGTGTATGCATCAGCTGAATCATTGCTTGAACTTTTGTGCAAACTTTGTTTTTGACTTGTGGAAATGACTCGGACCCACTTGTGTTACTGTGTGCATGAGTGGAATGTACATGCGTCATGTAGTCATATCCATCAAAACACTTTTGTTTCTTCAAATGTTTGTATGTAGAAGGCATGGTATGGCACAGTTCTGTTTCTAATATGAAAAATATGAACATGTACGTGCTAATAAAGCTTTTCTATCCCATCCATTTTTACAACAGAGAAGAAACTGAGGCATAGAGTGCAAGAAATAGCAAGTGTTCTCTAAAAACCTGTCAAGTTAATGGACAAGGAGATTAGCTTTGTCATTTTGTCACAAGGCTAAAAGAACAAGGACAAAGACTGATTTTAAGATGTTCTTCCACTCTGTAATCAAGAGTGAAGGGGGAGAAGAAAGATTCAGAAAGGCATTTAAAGTATGTTTTCTCCTCTCAAAGTAAAAACAGGGACAGAGATGAAGAGTTGGTGCACTGCTTAATACTGTATCTGAGAAAAAGTGTCAGAGATTGATGAAAACCAAACGCAACAGAGAGGAGATGGATGGCTGATTTATCTATGATTTTTCACTTTTTTATACGTCATTTGATTCATTTAAATATTAAACATTTACTGGAGCTGTCATCTCAGCCAGAGAAGGAAAAATTCAAAATGTGATTTTCAATTTGTTATAAAATGCACTATAAGCGGAATATAATATTAGTTCAATATTAGCTCAATATTAGTTTAATTAAAGGAAAAATCTTCAAGAAAAAAATAAATATTTTTTCATTTTTTCTGTTGTAAAGTAGATATAAAACCTTATCAAATTAGACAAAGTAAAGTACAAATACTTCAAATCTGTGCTGAGGTACAGAACTTGAGTAAAGGTAGTCTGTGTATCCCCATTCCCCACCCTTTTTATTAATCCAATTTAATACTGACTTAATCCTGCAGAGGATCATGGGCTTGGACATACTTCTGAATCTGCATCCCCCAAACACATGTTCACATATGGTAGATTATTTCAGCCACTCAGGGAAAGTCTCAAGATGATGTGAAACAATCTGGTGAGTGGGTTACTCTTGGTTGTGTCGGTGCTGTTGTTGAGCCGCTGGCTTGCCCTAAACATTTGTATCCATACAAAATGAGGGAAAATCCATGTAATTTAAAGACAAGCCATACAACTTGACATGTAGGCCATTCTGGGTGCCCAGATGACACAGAGCGTTAGTTTATGTTCATCGCAGAGGTAGAACTTCTGTGATTTTACAAGGAAAGTTTACAACTCTGCACATTCTAAATAAAAGTTTGGTGCATGTAAACACCCATCAGGATTATTTAATCCAAATACATTTCAATCTAATCAAATTGTGCACAGGTAAACATTGCTACAGATGGGTACCTCTGTGTTCATATCACTGATTTATCCCATCTGAGGTGCTGTATAAGGTGAACAAAGGTCTGAGCAGTGAATCTTTCTGAGATCCATTCAACCCCCCACACTCTGACTCTAATTTGCAGTTACCAATATATCTCATCATGCATGAGTTTGGACTGTGGGAGGATGCACCTGGAGAAAATTGAGTTAGGAGAACTTGAACTTGAARTAAACTCTGGCCAGTCAGCTGGCAGAAACTCATAACCATATACTGGAGTGAGTGCTGCCCTTGAATCTAAAATAATAAAGTCATTTTGAAGCTATGAACTAAATGCACCTACATTCTTTTCAGCCCTGAGTAAACCACAAACAACTTTCTTTATCTCCCTTTCAGACTCAAGTTTTTTACATTAAGAACAGGATCCAACTCTCGGGGCCTTTCTCATTAGAACAATTTTACCCAGTTTTCAAAGCAGACTTGTATTTGAGCATCTGCATTGTATCTTTCTATCTTTCACACACATAGGCTTATAGCTTCCCTCTAGCAAGACCAGAACTCTGCGTGTGGCTTAATTTAGCACGTCTAATTTGTTCTCTCCAGACCTGTCGAACAGATAAGGAGGAAGAAAGGAGGCAGGGAGTGAAAAAGAAGGATAAGTGAGATGGAAAGAATGAGGAGAAGCAGCACAGGAAGGTGAGAACAGGTGTCTGAGATGGTATCAACACGTCAGCWAATGACTAAAACAACCTGAACTTCGAAAGACTTAAAAAGAGGGAGCGAGAGGTCAAGAGAGTTCCAAGGTTCTAAGCAACACTGAGTAAATAAAGGCAGTGCTTGAGAAAATAAAACCCAAAAAGGAAAGTGAAAGAGTCGGGATAAGAGAGGAAAAACAGAATATATTGGGGAATACTAAGAGTAAAGATTATTTACTATGACATTATGAAACTGTATATTGCTTTTCTACTAGGAGCAATAAAAATCACAGATAACTTTTTTGTGTTTCTAGTTTAATCTAAATTATATAACATTTTTAAGGGTTAAAACTGGATTTATATTATCCTTTTGTCACAGCTTTGGATTTACAAAATTAATAAAAAAGAGGAATAATTATAAGCTCCAACAGCTTGATCTGTGTGTTATACAGTATATTCCCAAGAAAATGTGTTCTTTGTTGCAACATAAAACATGTGCATGGAAAATGAAATGTGCTGCTACCTTTATTACTGCTCTGTGGCAGAAGGGAGAAGTTATCTGACCAATTTCAGACTGAAGAAACAGTTTTCTGCCAATACACTATCTGCTAAGGCAAGATCCAGAAAACTCAAGTAAATTATTTGTTGCGCTTCAAAAAAAATGCATTTGCGCTCTGGAGCTAAATGTAATGACACTTTTGAAAATCTGTTTCTGTTCTTCCTCATCACTAATAGCAGGGTCTATTTGTGGGTCCCTGGATGATGGTGCAGCTGCAGTATGTGACTGGTCCTCACCCTTGAAGAACAGTCTGTGGAGGAGAGATATCCCTTTTGGACTGGGACTAGTATTAATTCACCATAAGAGGATTTCCTTATTTGAAAAACAAAATCTATTTAAAATTTATCAACCCTTTGATTTTTAACTTTTTAGCCATGTTGCTTCATACAGGATTTTGATGCTCGTGTTGTCTGCATTTGCCATCTTGTGAGGCATCTTGAAAAATACATTTTGATAGGTTGCTTCTATAACAAACGATAGTTTTGTCTAATTAAGTAGAAAATTGAGCTGCTGAAGTTAAGATAATGTATATGTAAAGGTTACAGTGAACATATTTTTTTTTAATATTTCACAAGTTTAGAATAATTAGCATCAGGGCTTGGTGTATTTTTTATTTTAACTTGTAGTTTTAGAAAGAAAATAATACAACAATCTAGAAACTGTGGTGCTATACTGCATAGTAACATACAGGCCTGGATGGTATGTGAAAACAAAGAATGTCAATGTAACATTAGTCTGTGTGAAATGTCAATGGGAGGGAGGAATATGTGAGTTTATTGCAGCTGATGTTGTCATTGCAACATTCATCAATAATACTGTGTTCATGTTTTTATTTAATATTGTGCAGTCCATGCGTCATATGTGACAGAAGGAAATAATATACAAAATAAAACAGATTCAGTGACATATTTGTAAAAAAAACAATGCAAATTATTTGACTATTATCTTCAACAATGCAGAAACAACTATTGAATACCACATTTGGAATCAAACTGGAGCACAGCCAAGGACACACTTCTGAAACAAAAAAATTACTTTTGTTTCACTTTCAGTAAAATTAACATTTCAAATTTGAGTGATTAATTAAATTTAAACACAACTAACTTTGGCTTGTCTAAAAAAATATTCAGGCCTTGTCCTTTTTCAGGCAAGTTAAGTTGACCAGATGTGTTGAACATTCAGTGTTTGATCCACAAGAATTTAGATAACAAGACAATAAAACTTGGATTTACTCTCACACACAGACACAAAGTTGAGTTTTCATGACTTCAGTGCAAATTGAGCCAACTTATTCATTTTATGGAGAATTACTCCAACAGTAAACAACTCCCCTAACTGGTGCCTAAATTTTACTGTAACCAAACTTCAAACCAGGTCATCACCATAAATCTAAAGATGCAAGCAGCCACAACATGAGTAACACACACACTCACAAGAAAAGGACTTCATTTCAGCTGCTTTGTAGGAGTGAGTACATTACAGGCTCCATCAAGAATCTGTTAATAACAACAATGCACATTGACCACCTCTGATGTCAACTCTATTAGACTGCACTGACACACACACAAAGACACGCGCCGAGACAAAGTGAGGGCACTCTGTCTTTGAAGTGCAGTTGAGACAGATTTACTGTTCCACATTGACCGGAGCTGGTACTTAAGGCTCTTCAAGGAGACGGATCTGATAACAAGTGAGACTTTATGTGTGTATGTGTGTGTGTGATGATCTCAGAGATGTGTGTGGTGTTTGTGGAAGAGAACCACAGTGATGGACAAAGACTAAACATGTAAATCTAAGTGTAAAACAAAAAACAGTTTGACCAGAAAATGGCGTCCTTCTAAATTAAAACGTCTAGCATGGATTGCAGAAATGCAAATCATCCTCTGTCTTTTAAGCAGCTGCAATGTGCGACTAAGATCATTTTGTAATGGGAAATGAGAGTTGTAGCCGTTAAGGCCAACCCTTGCAAATAACATCATGCTCAATCTCATGCAATATTGTGAGACGTCACACTCAGAGTCGTCGTTGGCATCTGACCATCTCAGAAGACAATGGTGTAGCTCTTGTAGAGTTCATCTGCACTTCCTGGAATGGCTGTGCAGACCAATTTGTGAGTGGCACTCCCTGCCACATCCGGTGCAGGTAAATGGAGTTGGCTGCTGTTGCTGTTGTTGCCTTTCCTTCTGCCTGACTCTCTTTTGGGTGGCAACTTTGATCCATGCCTCCCCCGCATTCTTTATACCGTCTGGTGGCAAGTCGCCAAACTGTGCTGTCATCTGCCTTGCTCTCCCATGAATAGACATCAATGCTGCACTGTTTCAGGTCTTTTTTGCAGACATCCTTGTAGTACAATTTTGGGCGGCCAGTTGTCCGAACACCTTCTACCAGCTTGCCGTAGAGGAGGTCTTTGGGAATGCGGCCTGCATCCATCCTTCTTACATGGCCAAGCCACGGTAGGCGCCTCTTGCAGAGTATGGCATGCAGGCTGCTCATATTGGCGTTTTCCAGCACCTCTGTGTTAGTGATCTTGTCCTGCCACTTAATATGGAGGATGCAGTGCAGGCACTTCATGTGGAAGCTGCTGAGTTTCCTTTCGTGCCTGGCCTAGGTGGTCCATGTCTTGCTACTATAAATGAGTGTGCTGAGCACACAGGCCTGATAAACACAAATCTTGGTCTTTCCAGTGAGGCTGGAGTTGTTCCACACTCTCTGGGTCAGCTTAGCCATGACTGCTGCTGCTTTGGCAATTCTGCTGTTGACCTCTGCATTGATGGAAAGCAAGCTGGAGATGGTGGACCCAAGGTACGTAAAGTGTTCAACAACATCCAGGCTGTATCCATCGATGGCAATGGTTGGAGGAAGTTCTATGGCCTGTGCCATGACATTTGTCTTCTTCAGACTGATGGTCAATCCAAACTCCTTGCAGGCATGGGAAAAGTGATTGACAAGCTGCTGCAGGCCGTCTTCTGTGTGCGACATCAAGGCTGCATCATCAGCAGTTTTCCAACAATGTTAAGGAGGGAAATACCCCGGTAATTGTCGCAATTGCTGCGATCTCCTTTTTTTCTTGTACAAAGTGATGATGGTTGCATTTTGCATGTCCTGAGGGATGTAACCCTGTTCCAAGCAGAGGCAAAGTTGGCTGTGCAATGTCTGGAGCAATGCTGGTTTCCTGCTCTTCAGGACCTCTGATGGAATACTGTTGCTCCCTGGGGCCTTCCCACAAGTGAGGCAGTCAATGGCTTTGCTGAGCTCTTCCACAGTAGGTAGGGTGTCTAGCTCCTCCATGACCGACAGGTCTGGAATGGCGTTGAGAGTAATGTCAGTGATGGTGTTCTGTGTCACATACAGTTCGAGGAAGGGTTCAGTCCACTGCTGATTTGCTTCTCTGGATCTGTAATGACTTTGACGGTCTTGGACTTGAGTGGGGTGGTCTTAGGGGCTTGACACACGGGCAGCGACAAACTACAGCGATTAACGGCTGTCATCACAGCCAGGGTGAAACCCGACACACGGGACGTGATAGCGATTGCAGCGTTGCGAATCGCGCTCTTTCAGGTCGCTTGTCTTCACAAAATTTGATTGGTTCTTGACTCTGAAGGCGGGTGTGCATTACGGACCTGTAAACTAAATAAATCTTGCGATGCTAATGATATTGAAAAACAAACACACATCAAGGTTCAGTTTTGTGAGGAAAAACTTACCATAAACTTCACCCTGGTGCCAATAAATTCCCACAAAGCTGCCTTTTTAGTAATCACTTGGTGAAAGTGTTAGCTAACTGCAGTGTGTAGCATACTCTCCTCTCATTGGTCGGCCAATGAAACCCTCACTGATTGGTTGTACGCTAAGCGACAGCGACAAAAGTTGAACATTTTTCAACTTTCAT